CTTAAAATATAACGATCATAAGATCTTAAAAATATGCTTTAATATAAAATTATAAGTATAAAGAAATGCTAACATCATCATTGCATCATTATGTAACAAAATCATGTAGTCAAGAACATGATGTTGTGATTAGCTCATCCCTACCCTACTTATCTGTACATTACAGATGCTAAAGGAATCATGGTCCCTTATGAGCTTTAGATAGTTGACATTTTAAATCACACTCTTACAAATCTTTTAAAATATTGTCCTAAAAAGTTTTCTCTGTCATAGCCTATACGGATCAGTTGCTGAAGGTCTAAGTCCCGGAAGGTCTAATTAGACCTTCGACACACATTTTGCAGTTTGTACTTGTTGCTGAGGGTCTAATCTGGCAGTATGTCGAAGGTCTAAGAGTACAGTCAATGCAAAAAAAAACTCATCCACTGATACTGTTTTAGACCATGCGGGATTATACCTTGGGCACACAATGTATATTTTGTAAATAAATGTTTATAAAATGAGAGTTGCTGAAGGTCTAAGTCCCGGAAGGTCTAAGATTCGAGTCCCGGAAGGTCTAAGATTCGAGTCCCGGAAGGTCTAAGATTCGAGTCCCGGAAGGTCTAAGATTTGAGCCCCGGAAGGCAGGGCCGGATTTAGCATTTTTGCGCCCCTAGGCCCAAATAATTTTCCGCCCCCTAGTCTGGTCACATTTCTTCAAACCTTTATTAAAAAAAATATAATTCCTATAGGCCTGAGTTAACTGCTTGAATAACACTCCTCTTTGGAATCAGAGCAAGTTTTTTTTTAGAATTGACTTGTTTAGCCTTAACAAAATGTCTTAAACACTTTTAGCAATTTTATGCTTTTAATAAATGCTCACATTTGTGGCCGTGGGACTGAAACAAAAAACTCAACCACCCGAGCATTCCTGCAAAAAAGAAAACATGGCCATTGATTCCAATTCCAGGCCCAAAAAATATGAACTCCATACAGTACGTCATACCATAGATTAAACCTACTCCTATTAGTAGATTTGTCATCATTTTGGATTAGCTGAAAACAATTCTTGTTATTTTGTTTAAGGAGTATGTTTTATCTATGTTTAAACCTAGTTTATCCAAAATAAAACGATCTACTGCTGTAATCATTAAAAATAGGTCGTATCCTGTTTATTTCACTAGAAATTGAAACGCACATCATAGAACTTACCCTAAAATAATAGGAACAAAATTACGTCAAAACTAATGTCCAGTGTCACCAACATGAACTTGACATTGAACAATTTTGAATTAAGAATGTCATAAGAAGTCGACTTGAGTAATATTTAATCTTTGGTCGTACTGCATCTAGGTTATGTTTCAAAAGCAAAACAGAGCAATATTCCGGCCAACCGTACCGACCTTACTTAGGTCTGAGGAGATAAATGACAGCATTACTGTTGTTTTGGAGGGTATCTGATGTTTTGGAGGGATGTTTTAGAAAAACTAATCTAAAATCTAATGCAAACTGATATTAATATTTTTTCGTTAATTTTAAAGGTAAATACATCGTTGTTTTAATATTCAACACAACTTATTATATATTTTGACTTGATCCTGCAGATTGTTGTAAACTAATTAAAAGACTTAACTTTTGATGAGAGGGTGGTAACAATGTCTAGCACGCATGCGCCCCTAATCACTCTGATCAGTAGTACCTCAGAGTAATAAAACAAAAGTAGTACCGAGCCCGAGCCAGCCCCTTTGGGCGCTCGTCAACATCCCTAGAGCCTACTGCCGTATAACCAATGTTCTTTAATCTTTACCAATTTTGTAATGAAATTGATGCGTAGGCCTAATTCTGAAAATAGTTTAAATTTCCTAACAATTATTTCTTCTTATGAAATTCAGAATCACAATGCTTTGGAGTTTTTTTTATCAACTATGACTTTTTATTTTAGAGAGCCTAGGTATACAAAAAATTTACTCACGGCCGTGCGCCCTCTGGGACCATGCGCCCATAGGCCCGGGCCTACCGGGCCTATTGGGAAATCCGGCCCTGCCGGAAGGTCTAAGATTCGAGTCCCGGAAGGTCTAAGATGCGGGCGGGCATTGCATCGCCAGAGATGAAGGCTATACACTATACAGACAGGTAATAACGCAACAACTTTTAGAGTTGTAAATATCGAGATGTTTCATTCACTCCAAAAAGTAATTTTACAAATTATTTGCCTGTTCATTCGCTCCACTGTTCATTCAATCCAACGGGTACAGTCAGCTCTAGAAGTAGACTAACAAGTAGAAAATATTAATTTTGCATTTTACTGTACATTGGATCGAATGCACATTGGATTGAACGATCAGGATAATTTAAATGTGTAATAATCTTAAACTTAAATTCCATATCCAATATATAATCAAATGTATGTTTTCTGATTGAGCATACAGTATCATGAACTTAACTGATTATAACTATCAATATATCATATGAAAGCCTTTATTTTAAGAAGTATTTTAAGACCAAGACATATAAAATAACTTAAATAAAAATAGTGTTACGTATTGCAGATAAGTACTAAGACGATTATAGTTATTGTTGATTCATGATTCAGCAGTGTGCTTTAGGTAGTCCGTTCTTAATAATCAATAGCTCAAATGAAAGCTGGAATTTAACTAAAGTTTTTTAGAGCAAAACATATAGGGTTATGTAATTTGAACTTGTGGAATTCATCTTTAATTTAGTAAAAAAATCAAAAATATCAATTTTTTCGTCGAGTTATACGTTATTTAAATTATTGATGATGCTTGATGACAAATATATGCTTGCATAGCTTTATTTTAAGACCAAAATTATGAAAATGGGTCGGTTGGAAGAGCCAAACGAACTCGAATATAAGTCAAAATGAATAACGATGCTTAATGGCAAATCTGTGGTGCGTCCACCTTTAGTTAAAGGCCAAAACTATGAAAATCGGTTAGGTAGAAGAGCTACCCTACTTGGAAAAGAAAAACCAATAATTTTAATAGATGGCAATAATTGGTTTACCATCATGCATAATCTAATCATACGAAACAGGTGTTAATAGTTTAAATATCGTTATTTAAACGAATTTTCTTTGATTAAATGTTGTTGTTTACAATTTGTATTAATTTGTATTTAAGTGTGTTCCTTATGTTAAGTGTGTTGTTCTAATGTTCTGTACCATTAATATTTGTGGGTTAAGTGGTGTATGGATTTCATAACCATTATTTTCCTAGAGATCGTCGTATTTAACATCAACTCTAACTAGTTTAACCCCCGGGCTCTGTAGCTAGTTAACCATAAAAATAACATGAGAATTTAGAATTTAAATATTTCATTTTTTTCCTTAACCATGAAGCGTATAACAAAACGTCCAAAAAATTTGATTTAAAAGCTTCACAAAATTGTTTAGAAAAAAATAGCACACTTTATGTTTTTCTCGTCAAATTTAATAGGTTCCGGGTCTAAGTTTTACCATATGGGTACGGTATTTACTTGTTCCCGACTTAGTAAATTCGGTAAGGAGCAGAACCTTGGGAACGTATCCATGTATCAGGTTATCTATTAAAAATTTTTAGATAAAACAATGAATTTAATAACGAGAAGATAAACGAGATAGATAGATAAACAAGAAGATAGAACAAAATTTGAAACTCTCCTCCAACAGTAGGGGCTGTCGTGAAGATGCTACCTGACAACACGCCACCATCTAGATAGTCGAAGTGTTGGGTCGACTTGTAGGTAGCCATTTAAGTGCCATGGTGATAGTATAATAATTAACTATAATATATAGTACATTTTCGTTCTGTCCGCCAGTAATTTTAACACGGGAATATGTTTTATTTCTTCATAAACCCTTCATTAAACCCTTACCTACTAAAAACTGTCCTTAAGTTTAGGTATTTATGTAACTAGTGAGCCAAGTGGCACTTTGCTGCACATGAGAGAAATGTGAACGTACAAGCCGCAGGCGACTGTGGAAAGATTCTCGAGTGCAACAAAGGCACTTTGCGCTCGTGTTACAAATTATATTTTTCCAACATATAATCTGGATAATCTTAAATACGATGTCATCTTGGAGAGTGGTGGGGGTTAAAGGGTAGCCTCTGATTCCAGTTGAAGGGTGTATACATTATGTGTGAGGGAACACGGACCTCGGTTCCTGCGGAGAATGTCATTTTATGCCACATGTCACACTGTGTGCAAGTAAAAACGATCACTACCCTCCTATCGGAAATTCCGTGAAAAAGTTTTAAACTTTCCATTAGGGTTCCGAAGTCTTGCTCAAAATCACTTAATATTGATATTAAAATTATTCTCTGGCATTGAACACAACGTTTTCGGTTGTATTTGGATCCGAGGTCCCGCACCAGGACCTCGAAACCAGCGGGGACCTCGGACCCACGGTGGAAAATCACATCGATCGCCTCGGAACCGGCCTTATACGCACGCACAAACTCACAAACTTTTAAATTTATAATATTAGTAAGATGAAACTATTGATTGGCTAAGTTAAGCTGAAATAAACAAAACAGAATCCTGAACACCAAGGTGGTTTTTTTACCAATTTAAACTGATGTAATGATTTATTCTGAGCTATAGCAACTGTTATGGCCCAGCAACTATGCCAGTAACAAAAATTAAAGTATCCAATAGTAAATGTGTGAGAGTTATTAAAACTATCACTAAGAATATTACAACTCTAAAAAACTCTAAACTAAAAGTTGATGCGTTATTGCCTGTCTGTATAGTGTATAGCCTTCATCTCTGGCGACGCAATGCCCACCCGCATCTTAGCCCTTCCGGGACTTGAATCTTAGACCTTCCGGGACTCGAATCTTAGACCTTCCGGGACTTAGACCTTCAGCAACTCTCATTTTATAAACATTTATTTACAAAATATACATTGTGTGCCCAAGGTCTAATACAGTATCAGTGGATGAGTTTTTTGCATTGACTGTACTCTTAGACCTTCTGGGACTTAGACCTTCGACATAATGCCAGATTAGACCCTCAGCAACAAGTACAAACTGCAAAATGTGTGTCGAAGGTCTAATTAGACCTTCCGGGACTTAGACCTTCAGCAACACTCCTGCCTATACCACCATCAGGTGAATCTTCACAAAACTACAAATCCATTTAGTTAAGGCACTGTAAAGGACACTTCTTCCATTTTATATTTTTACACAGTAGAGTCATATCATAATAGTAATTTGTTTTCTCTTTGATATTAGTAGCCTATGGTACAATTACACCTTAACCTCAAAATCCAAAGTGAAAACTAACTTTTGACTCCAACTGTTCACTATAGTTCACTGTATTGTATGGTAAAAAAGTTACACCATTTTGTGCATTGGTTTTTTTTATGAAATAATATCTTGATAATTATTATTGATAACGATAAATTCATCCATAGATTGTTTTTGTAAACCGCTAGATTATTGATTAAATAGTGTGTTTAGTGTTAAACCGCTTAGTTATGAAATTATACCATAAAAACAAAAAAACCTACATATTTTTCAAATACAAACCACCCTCACCCCAAACCTGATGCCCAAATGGTGTAATGTACAAATACAATACCATACAATACTATATTGAACAGTTTTTAGAGGTTAGAACATTTTTTTGCTTAATGCACCTTACTATTTCATACTCCACAATGACAGCATACCTATTGCCTGTTCACGAAGAAGGTTAACATTCAAACCACACCCTTAAAAATCTAATCAAATACATAACATAATAGATTGTTCAAGTTATATCCTGATTGAAAAGAGGCTGGTCTTCTACCAAGCTTAGTGGGAAACCATGAAATGTCAAAGCTTCATTTCACACACAAAACTTATGGAACACAATTTGAACAAAATTTCATGTACGTAAGGAGATTTTACTTTGGGCATTCAAAAAATGTAAACTCACATTCAAGATTTCCTTCATCAATAAGCTTATATAAGGTGCTATGTGGAATCCTCATGCAATTATTTCCATCATCTGCGATACTTTTCTCTCCATTATTACAACATTTCACCACAGAAGCCTTTAATGTAGACACATCTACAAACTCACCTTTTTCAAACTTGAATCTGACAAAATATTCATTTTTCAACTTCCCAATTGGAGTTGCTTCAAAAGTAAGTTCAAAATTGTTCTGACTTAAACTATATGTAACCCAGAATATATTGTCAAACACAGAGATAAGTAAATAACCAATTTCGTAATCCTCAGGATCAAACTGTCGCCAAACCCAAGTATAAGATGAATTTGCTTTATACCTATAGAGTAAGCGACAATGCTCTTTCTCATAGTGATCCACCAGTTTGATCAAAGAAATCACAGTGTTGCAATCGGTTTGCCTACACTGTACAGGTCTGAAACCACAAAATTCTTCATGGTCACTCCCGGGCTGCAGAATGTCTAGGCAACCATCTCCATGGTACTTGCACTGACGAGGTATGGCTTCCAGAATGTTTTTTAAACACACAGGATTCTCTGTTGTTAACGGACCTTCGCAAATCGGGCAGTCATTTAACTTCTCGCAGCAGCAGTTGCAAACCCCATGGCCTCTGCTGCATGTCTTAAATGGAATTTGGATTGTGTCCAGACACACTGGACACTCTACAATCCTTTGCAGTCTATGAAGAGATGACGAGATGTTCTTCAGTGTAGTTTTTAAATTTTCCTGAAAAGAAAATTTAAATCACGAATAAACAAATTGTTTATCACACAATCCACATCAAATTGTAACATACAAATATATTTAAAAATACCCCCACCGCAGCAAGCCTGTAGACTAAGCAAATTTCAACTTGTCTGATTTCATTTTTACTAAAATCTAATATATAAAATTCTCGTGTCACAGTGTTTGTCTGCAAACTCCTCCGGAACGACTTCACCGATCGTTATGAAATTTGGTGTGTAAATTCTGTAGGTATGCGAATCGGACGTAAACTATTTCCCGTTTCGAAATTCTTAAAAGGGCTCCGCCCCAGTGGCTCTGGAGTTTCCCATGTTAACCTTATGAGAAATGGAATTAATGAATCTTAACAGCTGTTTCAATTAAACAAGTTGGTTCTGTTCTATGATGTTCAATAGCATTAAAGTTACAAGGATTACCAACAGGGTGCAGCACTATTATTTCTTTTACATTTATGACAACAGCTAATTTGCAACCAAAAGGTGAGTGAGCGTAGCGAACGAACTTCAACCTGGAGGCGAGTTAGCGTAGCGAACGAGCTAACCTGAAGGCAAGTGAGCGCAGCGAACGAGCTCCAACCTAAAGGTGAGTGAGCGTAGCGAACGAGCTCCAACCCAAAGGTGAGTGAGCGTAGCGAACGAACTTCAACCTGGAGGCGAGTTAGCGTAGCGAACGAGCTAACCTGAAGGCAAGTGAGCGCAGCGAACGAGCTCCAACCTAAAGGTGAGTGAGCGTAGCGAACGAGCTCCAACCCAAAGGTGAGTGAGCATAGCGAACGAACTTCAACCAGGACGAGATTGAGTGATGCGAACGAGATCATCTTGAAAATTAAACGTAACGGTACTTTCTTTCCATCGGTCTGTCTTAGGGGAAACCTATAACTTAGGCGATACGAAGTTCGCCGGGTCAGCTAGTATTTCCATAAATAAGACATATTTATTCCTAATTTAAATAACATTAGATTTAACGAGTTCTTAGGTTTGCTGCTACTGGGAAGGTAAAAAGTGTTTGTTGACCATACATCAATAGTATAGGATGAAAGAAATAAATTTGCCAAATTTGATCAACATCTATCTATCTATACTATTATAAAAAAGAGGTGGTTGCTGTATGTGTGTATGTGTGTATGGGAAAAGTAAAATCGAAAATACTGGTCGGATTGGGCTGAAATTTGGCATGATGATAGCTCACATTCCCGATTAACATATAGGCATATTCTTATTTCAAAAATCCTTTCGGGCTCCGCCCCAGTGGCTCTGGAGTTTCCCATGTTAACCTTATGAGAAATGGAATTATTGAATCTTAACAGCTGTTTCAATTAAACAAGTTGGTTCTGTTCTATGATGTTCAATAGCATTAAAGTTACAAGGATTACCAACAGGGTGCAGCACTATTATTTCTTTTACATTTATGACAACAGCTAATTTGCAACCAAAAGGTGAGTGAGCGTAGCGAACGAACTTCAACCTGGAGGCGAGTTAGCGTAGCGAACGAGCTAACCTGAAGGAAAGTGAGCGCAGCGAACGAGCTCCAACCTAAAGGTGAGTGAGCGTAGCCAACGAGCTCCAACCTAAAGGTGAGTGAGCGTAGCGAACGAGCTCCAACCTAAAGGTGAGTGAGCGTAGCGAACAAACTTCAACCAGGACGTGATTGAGCCATGCGAACGAGATAATCTTGAAAGTTAAGAAGTTAAACGGGGCAAAGCCCGCGGGTTACAGCTAGTATATCCATAAACAAGTAAACTACAACAGTTTACATTTTCTCCATATGACATAGGAATTTCAAATTACACACAAAAATTTTCTCCATGACCGTTAGGCATACGACAATGCTTCAATATACTAAATTATTTCTTTTTTTAAGCTCTACAAAATGATTTGGAAAGAAATTTAAATTGTTTTTGTTTTTAGATAAATAATTTAGATAAAGACCATAGACCCCCCTTCCCATGGTCTGATTATGCTGGTTGGTGAACTCCTTCGAATAAATGTAGGTTTACACGTTTTTACCGAATTTTATCAAAATCGGATCATTTTCGCTCAAGTTATCGTGCCAAAGGACATTCATATATATGAATTTGAACAGATGGTGTTGACCTCTGGGGACCTCAAAACAAAAATGTAAATCGGTTCCGAGTCCAGATCTTACCATGAGACCTACGGTAATAGCTTATTCCCTATATGGAAAATTTGCTAATAAGAGGAAAGTAGTTTTACCGCCAACAAGCTCTGCTCACACTCACAACCTATGGAAAGACGTTCACCAAAATATCATTCTAATGCTCCTCCAATGCTTTTATACAACAAAATTGACATGGAAGTTGAAATTTAACAAATTATGTGGATTACTGTAGGTATTTATAAAGCGGTGTTAATAGTATATTTTGTACCAAGGGCTGAAAACGAGGTTTTGCCGGCTCGAGATAGTTTTTAAGTTCGAGAGCTGCAAAACCATTTTCGGTCCGTGGTACGAACACTATTTTTCACCACACTACTACTATTCACAATAATAATAATGAAAACTGATAGTCAACGCAACTTTAAGAATATGTGAAGAAGTAATTTCAGGAATCAGCAAAAATAATAATAAACAGTTGCTAGGCAGCAGTGAAAATAAAACAATTCTATTTCAATGCTATGGATACTGTTGCTGTAATTAATATGCAAGCGGACAGCTGATTTTGCGGCCCCGGGATGTAAAAACCTGCTCGGTCCCCAAATTACGATGACAGCTGGCATGGCCAGCAAAACGTAACTTTCAGCCACCAATTAACGTATGTAATACAGCAAAAAACATCATAGTGTGGTGAAAAATGTTTATATAATTACATGAGAAAAATATTTTTTTAATGAAGCTTATTAACTTATTGAATAAACTAGCTGTTTGCCCATTCTACGTACGGGAATCTTGTAGTAAGTTAAACCCTTATATTCAGAACAGGAGTTGGTTTGCATATTTAGTGTGCATTTTACTTTCTCCCCCTATACCATAGTATATGGAGAAAGTATTGTTTTCGTCAAAATTTTCGAGTTTGAGTTTTGAGTGGATATATTCGTTTTGGGTCCCCCTGGACCCAAAAAAGTGGTTTTCGAAGTGATGTCTGTGTGTGTGTGTGTGTGTCTGTGTGTCTGGATGTGTACAGAGCTAGAGACTACACCTGTGGTCCGATTTCGATGAAATTTGGTATGTAGGTTCTAATCCATGGTATCTCCAGGCGTTTTTTTCATTTTTTTGAAATTTTCTCAAATTTGATTTTCTCAAAAATGGCCCGAACGATTTTGATAAAAATTTAGTATGTTGTAGCCCTTTAAATTCTGAACAAAATGGTACAAATTCCATTTCTGTAAAAATTACGGTTTAAAAGTTATGGTAAATTATGTTATTTTCCCATAAAACCCCATAAAAAACGAAAAATAGGATTTTAGAAAAAAATCCGGTTTTGATTTAACATAGTACTTATGTTATAGTCCTTACAATTTTGACAGTTTTTCATTTTTTTAGAAATTTTTATTTTTAATGGGGATTTTCCCATAAAACCCCATAAAATAACGGAAAAAAAGGATTTTCCCAAAAATGGCCTAAACGATTTTGATAAAGATTTTGTATGTTATAGTCCTTTATATTCTGAACAAAATGGTACAAATCCCATTTCTGTAAAAATTACGGTTCAAAAGTAATTGTAAATTATGTTATTTTCCCATAAAAACCCCATAAAATAACGGAAAAATCTGATTTCCCAAAATTGGCTCGAACGATTTTGATAAAAATTTAGTATGTTATAGTTCTTTAAATTCTGAACAAAATCCCATTTCCTTATATTTACTCTCACCGCTTACACATGATAAAGGTTGTTGTCAAACTTATGGGAGAAAGTATGTGTCAGAATGCTGATACCGTTTATTTCCAGATATGATGGCAAAACTATAACTGTTTAGGAATACATATAAACCTTCTCAAATACAATATCTGACAGTTTCAAAGCCAAAACGAATGCTTCGCAATTAAATGTCATAGCCCTAAGGTAGGCCTGTAATGGAAAGTTACTTTTCACACTGGTTAAAAGTAGTTAAAACACTACCTCAACCTCACTACTGCACACTTTCTTCGGGTTGAAATTTTTATTAACTCTTGTCTTTTCCACGAAAAATAAGGACATTAATGCATTACCAATAGACATACACACACAAATACAGAATTGAGTCCACACAACATTTTGGAGTCCAGACAGAAAACGCTAAAAATTATACAGTAAGACATCAATTAAATTTAATAAGCAATAAGGTACAGTGTTTATAAATAAATAGTGATAATACGAGTAGTGATGTGTTTGTATGTAAAAATTATTCTTACTGATACCACCGGTTCTAAGGAAAAGTAGCAGTACCGGTACTAAAAACCAACGTTTACATTTGAGAAAAGAACTGTAGTACTTACGACTAATTCAAACTGTCCTTCTAATCAAACTGTATTATAGGTGTTAAATCAAACTGTATTATAGGTGTTAATCAGTTGGCAAATATATAAATAAATAAATACACCGGCCACAAAACATGTAACATGTAACATAAACAACGTAAAGCTTTGAAAACTCACTATGGTTTGCTAAAAAAAAACTTTCACTTGATGTGGTGCAGTACCGGTACCGAAGTTATTAACGATTGATGATGTTATTAACGATAAAATCTCCTTTGGTTTTAATTTTTTTTAGTTTTCGAAAATCAAAGTTATTTCCTATTAATGGCATTATTTGTAAGCAGCTTTTAATGTTAGGTAACATATTAATGACAGTTTGAAAAAACCACCTTTATCCAAACAAAGGTTTCTTATTTAAAAGATTACGTAATCTCTAAACGATAATCGGTACATATATCTAGCAATCATTCGGAGGAAATGTGACAAAAAACGCACAAATCTGGGGTTTTGTAAGTTTGTAGTTTTATTTCCTAAGTAGGAAAAGTACCGATATCGTTGTCGAAATGCAAGTAAGTAGAAACCAAAAGTGACACATTGGAAAAGCGAGTTTAGTTCTCTGTTACGGTACGATCACAGTGAAATCAGAAAGATCTTCCAAGATCGCAGCAACATCCACGATCACCCACTGCAGTTGTGATTTTTTACTTTGCACTTTACACAACTGTCCTTGAAGCACCGTCAATGAGTGGAAACCTTTGTAAGCTACGGTATTGGTGACGATGATTAAAAAAATGTAAGTTTCCTTGCACTAATACAACACTGAATCACGGTATTTTCCCCGGTTATCAAAAAACTCGAGAACAATCGTTGCACTTGCAATTAATTAAACCGGTTAAGTAAGGCACAACGTTTTTAATCTCACTTGGTTTGGATGTGCTGACAAAACTTGATCGGAAATGGTTGCGGTATTATTTGTAAACAACTTTTAATGTAAACATATCGGTGACAGCTAGAAGTGAGAACTAATCCAAACAGCTGATCGTTATTTCATAAAATGTAATGTAATAGTAAACATTGGGAGAAAATTTGACAAAAATCTAACAAAATTGGGTTTTTGGTGGTTCGTTATTTTGTTTTCGAAGAAGCGAGGCCACGTTTTTATAGCCAAAGACACTCTCACCAATCCAGTTAATACAGAAAAATGATTAAAACCTTGATCGGTACTCTAGTTTTCTAGGAGTAGGCCGCGTAAAATGACATTTTGGTGTTACAGACGGAGTCACAGAATGGACAGACAGACATACAGACAGTAATTGAGATAAGACTCGTTTCGGCTTTCTTAGGCTATGAAACGTAAAAATAACCAAAAACCGCTTGATTCTAAGCAATGTATAGACAAAACTATTTTTATTTATATAGATGTGTTCAATCCGAGCAAAGCTTAGTCTCTGAATACTTGTGATTAAGTGGCTGGAGCAAAAGTCTACGACTTTATTGCAAGTAAGAGTAGGGTCCCAGTTTGAATTAGTCAGGAGATGTGTAAGTACTATACACTTCTCCTCACACTCCACACACTTCCCCACACTCCATTGTATAACTTATGTTGTCATAGACCTATTTTATAAATATGTGATCCAGAGGCAGCTCACTGAAACATCTTTTACTCGTCGGCTTGTCAATGCATTGTGTAAAGCCACTTTCCAACTCATTCTTTTTAATGGACAACAGCCATTGTTGTTTGGTGTAAACGCGCACTAATATTTTTCAATTTTCTTTGTAACAATCACAGGACGATAGCATAGACAAAAATAAATATATAGACCATCAGCCGTACTGCGGTTACCATAGGTTCTGGCGCACACCGCTGGGAGTGCTGTGTAGTTACGTAGCGTGTACGCCATAGCTACATAGCGCTCCCAGCGGTGTGCGCCAGAACGCTCAGAACCAATGATAACTGCAGTAAGGCTGACGGTCTATGTTAAATTTTTTTTGTCTATGACAATAACAACTCAATAAAGTGAAGTTCATAAAATGATTAATAAATATTGCTGAACACCAATGAATGGATTGAACATATCAGATATAAACTCACCAACTCTGCCATTATTTTGTTGTATTTCTGTCACTAAGCTGGGTTGTGTCTCATTTTCTTTACAAAGAAAACCTGAAAGCAGAAGATTGTTTGATAGCGGAGATCAAGTCAGTTTGTAGTGACTAAACAACTAAACCACACCAGTTTTAAGAGAATTTCAGAATGAGCCAAAAATCTATGCTTAGCTAACCACTCAAAACATTCTTAGTGGACCAGGACGTCTGTTAACTTTATTGCTCGAGGGGGGGGGCAGTGATATGCATATGCACCACGCCTGTTGTCAGGCAGTGTCTCATTATAAATCAAATCAACCTTGTTCTGGCAAGTATAAAAGAGGATTTTGGTTTGTTTGTACAGGGTGCGGCAAAAAAAACAATCTATTTTCTGCAGAGCACTGTTCAGCGACAGGTCGTCCGAGAATGGTGGGAGTAGGATTTTTGGAAAGCCTACACAATGCCATTTCTTGTAGTCATAGAGCAGTGGTCGGCTGAGCTAGTGTGGTTGTTATGGAGTTGTTTTTATAAAATAGTGAATTCATTCATTGCTACTCAGCGGCAGTTTCATGCACTATTTCAATTAAGGCGACATGGAGAAGTTCCGTTGCATAGCATAATAATGCGGTGGGTTACTTACTTTAGGACAACGGCTTCTACGTTGAAAAGGAAGCTTACAGGCTGTCCAAAGTCAGATCGGACGCCAGAAAACTAACATTCGATAGAGTTTGTGTTGCTGTGGAAAACAGTCCTCGTAGGCCAGCCCGAAAACAAGCGGCTGCCTTGAACATGTCTGACCACTCAGTTATACGAATTTTGAGGTTAATTTTCATCCCTATGGATTAGAATAATAATCTGTATAATTTGGTAATCATCCATACAGATAATCACGACGGAACCTCTCTATGTCGACCTAATTGAATAAAAGCACGGAACTGCCGCTGAGTTATGACTAAATCATTAATTTTTTTAAACGACGGATAACAACTGTACATAGCTCACACAAACACTGCTCTATGACTAAAAAAATGGCATTGTCCTAGGCTTTCCAACGAGCCTACTCCCACCACCCTCAGACAACCTGTCGCTGAACAGTGTGCTGCAGAAAATGGATCCGTTTTTTGCCACACCCTGTATATTTGTTTGGCAGTAATGGCAGTGATAAATCCAGACACCGCTGGAGAATTTCATGGAGTAGGTTTATACAACATCTATGTCCTGATAACATTCAAGGTTCATTTAGTCCTGGGACTGTCTTAAATCCCATGACAGGGATTTTGAATCAGGGTGTCCACAGAAATTTTGTCATTGATTTCCATGACTCACGAACTTTACTCTAAAATTAACGTACACACACAAGTTTTGGTCGAACTGTATCACTATGTAACCACTAATCCTCATTGTGTTGATTAAAAAGTGTTTAGATATTTAAGGTGTAACACTTCGGTAAAAATATTTCATACTCAACAAAGTCAAGTTTATTTAAATTTTTTTGATTACATAAAGTTATCAAAATACTTAAAACATAACTAGCACAAGATCTTAACAATACACTTTCATATTAAGTTAATAAAAACGTATCCACAAATAATAATAAAAGAGTTAATAAAAAAGTGCCTGCCACAAACCGCCGTAAAAATATAGTATATTAAGAAAACTTTGTTCAAAAAAAGAAAAAAAATGTAAACTATTTGTTTGTTAGCCTTATATTGTATCAATTGGACCTCACCGACAAGTTTTTTAAACTTGGTGAGGCCAAGCTGTTGTAATTTTCATAATAAATATATTTGTATTTGTAATTGTAACCAGAAAGGCTAATTAACATGTAATTCGTCATTACATCATTACATAGAAAAATACAAAATCACGTAATTAAGACCATGTGTAAAACTATATTCTCATATTTCTCACTTTCAAAATGATAACATCATTTATTATTTAGCTCATCTCTCATTTCATTTATCTCTACACATTACAGATTTTCAATAATCATAGTATCAAGAGTTCTAGAAATTTGACATTTTAAATCACACACTTGAAATAAATCTCTTAAAAAATTGTCCAATTTCCTCCATCATATAACACCATCATGTGACTCTTCACAACTACAAAATCATTTAGTTAAGGCACTGTAAGGACACTTCTTCCATTTTATATTTTTCTCAGTAAGGTCATAGTACCCATTTGCTTTAGCCTTGATATTATACAGTTCACAAAATTAAGGCAGTTTGAGGAGAGGCAATCCAATCCCCTCCACATACCATAACTTTGAAGCAACAACTGATATACATTAAGCTAAAAGGGGGGACCCAGTAAACCTTCCCCTTAGTCACAGAAAACGTACTACTATAACTCAGAATGCCAACCGCATGGTAAAAAGCATTAAGCGGTTTGAGAGAGCTTTGCCTGTCAATCCGTAGGTGCGTAGCTATTGCATGGCAACGCTGGTGGCACTGCCTACGGATTGACAGGCAAAGCTCTCTCAAACCGCTTAATGCTTTTTACCATGCGGTTGGCATTCTGGGTTATAGTAGTACGTTTTCTGTGCCTTAGTCCACCTAAATTTTGTGAACGCGACTATAGTACAGCCCAGTTAAACCTAAACCTCAAAATCTAAAGTGAAACCTAAATTTTGACTCCAAACTTTTCAATATAGTCCCCGCATTGTATGGTAAAAAAGATACATAATTTTTGAGCGTCGGGTTTTAAGGGGGGGACGTTAAAGTTAAAAAAGTCAGTAGTTTTTTTCGGTTTCTATGAAATGTTTTGATCTAATTCTTATCGATAACAAAAATTAATTTAAAGTAGATTACACTTTTAATTACATGTATTGATCGCTAAACCAAATAGTTATCGAGGTAAATCATTAAAAAAAGGTACTTTCCTGTTAAAGGGAACATTCATTATTATCGATGATTTTTTCGATATATCGATATTAACAAACTGAAACATATCAGCTGACAACTACGATAAATATTGATCAGTATATGAAACTGTTCTAAAAAAATAACCTAACATAACTAACCAAACTTGCTGTAACATTTAAAAATTCCGTGTTTAACTTGCCTTTTCTATTATCAAACCCAAACGGAAGTTTTAAATGGTACAGCAAGTTTGGTTGGTTATGTTAGGTTAGCTTAGAACAATTTCATTTCTTAATCCATATAGACTATTTTAGCCTAAACAAGATCAGTTAGTTGTTGTTGTCAATTTGTAATAGATCTGATCGGAAAACAAAAATATCGATATATTGAAAAAAATCATCGATAATAATGAATGTTCCCTTTAACAGGAAAGTACCAAAAAAAAAACTATTGCATATTTAACTTTAACCCCCCCCCCCCCCCCCAAACCTACACTCAAAATGGTGTAACTTTTCACTATACAATACAGGGACTACATTGAACAGTTTTGTGTCATAAGTTACCTTTCAATTTAGTATTTGAGTTTAAGCAGATTTTTTGCTAATTCCACCATACTATACGCCTGGCATATGACAAGTTCACAGAGTTAACATTTCAACAACATCCTTAAAATCTTATAAAATACATAACATAATAGATTGGTCAGGTTTTATCATGATTGAACTGGCTTGTAATCTACTCAGTTGAAGAAGGAAAACCTTACATGTCAAATCTTCATACAAAAAACTTATTTTGCTTTACAGCTATTTATAGAAGAAATTTAAAATCTAATTGAAGAAAATGTACTCCTCAGTGAGTGTGTATGGCCCAAGAGTCAAGGTAACACGGAAAAGTAAGCAGCTGCAATCCCACTAAGATCCTAATTACCCCTATCCTTCCCTACCATCTAATACTGCTGGACCGTACCCTTGGCCTTGGACTATGATATTTTCTTATCTGATAAAAATTATAATCAAATTTTATTCCAATTCAAATGACGAGTAACTCTATTTTGGACATTGTCAAGCCAATGTACCTTGTTTGGAGGTAGGCTGGCACCTTCAACCTCGGTAGCCAGACCCATGACACGTCATTTAACGGATTTTGCTGTTTATCTATTATCGTTATTTATTTATTAGATTTATTTATTTCATTATTTGTTTAGGTAAGTGTTATTTATTTAGATAGGTATCTTTGGTTGGCTTCTTGTTTTAACCATGGAAAGGTTAAGTTGAAGTAAAAGTAAAAGTTAGTTAAAGTTGAAGTAAAAGTAAAAGTTAAAAAGTTGAGTTTTAGGAGTTATCAGTTTCCATGTTTAATTAGGAGTTCATGATTGCTATTGAATTTATTTGCATAAACTAATAAGTATTTTTCGTTTTTAGCGAATTTCCCATATAGGGAATAAGCTATTACCGTAGTACTCATGGTAAGACCTGGACGCGGGACCGATTTTTTTTTTCGTTTCGAGGTCCCTAGAGGCCAAAAACACCATCTGTTCAAATTCATATATATATATATTTATATATTTATATATATATATATATATATATATATATATATATATATCTATCTATCTATATATATAATAGGCTAAGCCGTTTTTTGTTAATCGAACTCCTCCGTTATTATTTGCCCAATTTTGACGTTAGAGGTCTCAAAATAAAGGTTAAAACGTGTAGTTGTGCCCAACGGTATTAGATTTTTGATAAAGTCGTTGGTAAGGGCGTCAGAGGCCCTTAACCCTCCAAGTGTCCATAGTTTAGGCCTTAATGTCCACCTATTTTTGGCGCATTTGCAAGGTTTTATTAAAACGGATCTGAGAAGCTTAAAACAATGTTAATTCTAATGTTCTATATACCATTTTGTTTGGAAAATCATGGGCTTCAATATTATATATAAAACATCAGGAACATTTTTTCAAAAAAAAAAAATTTTTAGGTCAAAAAAATATAATTTTGAAAATTTTCAAAAAAAAAATAAGTTTGCGCTCAATGAAATTGTATAAATTATAGGCCTATAAATATTTGAAAATAGCCACTTTGTTCTAAATTTTATGAGGATTACAAATATATAATAATATAAGGAAGTATATTTGCAAATAAATAAGTTATGGGCAAAAAACTGATTTCAGTACATAGCGTTTAGCTAAGAATGCATAGCCTAACCATAGCTAGGA